CCTGCTTGTCTGGGGATCACCTGTGGTGGCTGCAGAACAGTAAGGGTTGCTGCCATTTTCTTCTTCTGTTATCTTTGTCCCAGAAGGATACCAACAAGAAGTCAAACTGAGCTCTCCTTTATGAGGTGTCTCTTTGGGTATATGGGAGTCAGGTAGCTGCTTGAGGAGACAGTCTGTCACTTATAGGAGCTCAAGTGCTGAGCTGTGAGCTCCATTGTTCTGTTCAGAGCTGCTGGGCAGGTACATTTAAGTCTGCTGCAGCGGAACTCATAACCGCTTTTTTTCCCAGGTGCCCTGTCCTGGGAAGGTGGGGCTTTATTTATAAGTTCCTGATACACTGCTGCCTTTTTTCAGAGATGCCCTGCTCAGCAAGGAGGTAGCCTGGTCACAGTCTGCCAGCAGAGGCATTGCTGAGCTGCTGCGGGCTCTGCCCAGCTGCTGTGTAAACTTCCTTGTGGTTTTGTTTACAGAGGTACAGTTAGAACTGCCTCGGTAATGGCAATCTGCCTCAGTAATGGTGGACCGTCTCTATAATGGCAGACTGCCTCAGTAATGGGGGGCTGTCTCAGTAATGGCGGACTGCCTCAGTAGTGGCAGGCTGCCTCGGTAGTGGCGGGCTGCCTTGGTAGTGGTGGATGCTCTTCCCCTGACAGAGCTAGACTATCCTGAGTCCAGCTGTGCTTGCTGCGAAACTCTCAATCCAGAGCATTTCAGATGGCTGGTCTTTGTGGGCGTGGGACCTGTCGAGACAGATCACCTGGCTTCCTGTTTCAGCTTCCCTTTTTTCAGTTGAATGGGCAGCTGTGTCTCCCAGGTATTCCAGACACCAGTTGAAATGGCCACCCAGATTTGTGTAAGTTTTTGTGTGGAGACCTGCTGTGCTGGCTGAAACAGCTGGGCTGGAAACTCATGACACTTTTCAGCCTGATAATCTCCTAGTCTGTGGGCCGTAATAACTCATTTGGAAATGCAATGATCATTCACCCTCTGTGTTGTTCTCGCTGGGAACTGCATTCCAGAGCTGTTCCTGTTCAGCCATCTGGGATCTTTTCCTACTTGGAAATATTTAATTAAATGTTTATTCTTAGTTTGTATCACATTATTCCCAAAGTGTTTGTGTGTGTTGTAAACTAAAGACAAATTATGAGATGGTTTTTATTTTCAAACCAGCGAGATTGTAACAGGTATGTGGATAATCATATTTATCTATATCTATATCATCTATAGCTATATCTATATCTATCATCTATCTATGTCTAATCTCTCTGTCTTCATGTTGTAGTTCAGCATGTCCCACATTTTAATGATCAGAGGAATCATTGGACATCTTGTTAAAATGTGGACATAAATTAAGCAGGTCTGGGTGGGGTCTGAGATTTTGTATTTCTAAAGAACTCCCAGGGATGCCACTGATGCTGGTCCACAAACATTGTAAGTAGCAAGTGTGTAGACAAAAGCAACTGAGTATGTGGAGGAGCCTGACTTAGGGAGGAAATGTTATGTCAACATCTCAGCCAAGCCCTGGCACTGAATGTGTCTGTGTGTCTGCTATGTGGAAAGATTGCAGGCTGTAATTTCAGGAAGAGTTGTCTGTTTACGTACTGAAGACTTTGCCCGTAAGGAGTGGTTTGCAAGCCTAGCTATTGCTTTTTTTGTACTTTACATCAGTCAGTTAGTGTCACAGTAATGCTGAGTAACAAACCACTCCAAAGCTCAGAGGATTAAAATGAGCAGAATTTTTTTCTCATGAGTCTACATGGTAATTTCCTGCTTGGCTGATCTAGGTCAGCTCCACATGTGTCTCATGTTCCCCGAACCAGCAGCCCCTCAGGGCATGACCTTGTCATGGCCATGGCAGAAGCAGAAGCATGAAAGCCCAAATGTGAAAGCACATTTCAAGCCTCTGCTCATGTCATGTCTGATAACATTCCACTGGCTAAAACAAACCCCATGGACACAGCTACCCTCACAGGGATGGGGAAGTTTGTTCCACTTACAGTGAAGCCATGGAAAACTTATGGATGAATATCCTATTACAGATGTGATGGATTCAGACCCATAATTTGATCTATTCACAGTCTTTGTATCAACAGAGTAAGACATGAAACTCTCCTTAGATAAGAGCCTCACCCACAGTAATACATGCCATTCCCTGGAGCCATATCAAATATAAAAAAAAATTGTTCACCACTGCCTTTGAATGGGCTTCTGTAGTTACTGTCTTAGAACTTAAAGGTATGTGGGCTGCATACATAATGCATACACATAGAATGATGCTGTAGTTGGGATGTGTGTTTCCTCCACTTCTCATGTTGAAATCTGATACCCAGTGTTAGAGGTGGGGCCTAATGAGAGGCGGTTGAGTCATGGAGATGGATCTTCATGAAGAGAGGATAACCTCATAAAGAGATTAATGCCTTCCCTTTTGGGGGTTGAGGTGAGTAAGTTATTGCTCTGCTAATTCTCGAGAAAGCTGGTAGTTACAAACACCCTGGCACCTCCCCTGACCTCGCTTCACCATGTGATCTCTGCACACACTGGTCCCCTTTGCCTTCTGCCATTAATGGAGGGGGCCAGAGACCCTCACCAGAAGCAGATGCTTCTTGTACAGCCTGCAGAATCATAAGCCAAATAAACCTCTTTTCTTCATATACTACCCAGCCTCAGATGTTCCTTTATAGCAACACAAACAGACTAAGCCAAATGGTGGAACAACCAGCTAACCAACCAACCAACCAACCAACCAGCCAACCAAGTGCTGCAAATCTGCTGCAACCAGATTCTTGGATCTGAATGGCAGCCAAAGGGATCTTCCTCAACGGGGCTGAGAAAGATGGTGTCCACTTGGAAGATGCGTGTTTTCAAGATGCCAGTGTCAACGCTGTGGCAGCCAAGATAGGAGAAGCAGGCTGCCATGGTGCAGATAAGAAGCCAGCAGTATCTGTTGAGAATTTAAATGATGAAACTGACTAGACATGGTCTCTACTTTTATTATTTCTATTGGATGACAATTCTAAACAATGTTGTTGGGAAGTACTCCCTTGAGTCCTGGCATGTTTTGGATTTCTTATGTATGAGCTGTGGAACTGCATTCCCCTCTGACACACTGAGGCAGGAGAATGACAGCCCTGTTGGGGACCTACCTGAATAATTTAGATGGGACAACGCTGCCCTTGAGGAAAAAGAGATGGGGGTGGTGGGACACATTTCTCTGTTGGTTGCTTATAGTGAACTTGCTGGGAATTCCTGCACTCCTCATTTTAAAATCTCTGTGCTCATATCCATACCTGGTGACCTCATGGCAGGAAGTTGGTTTTGGAAGACACTGGGCTTTGATTAACTGCTCGATGTTGACAACACCAGCTCATCTATCATTGCAAATGTACTTCAAAGCCTTTTTCATTCTTCTGCATTACTCCCAGAAAGAACAAGGTTTCCAGCAACTCCATATAATGGATCTTCACTTACATAAAAGATCAGTTTGATGTGGAAAAGGATACAGGCTCCAACTTGATGAAGTTCCCTATGGCCAAATCTGGGAAAATTTAGCAAGAAAATAAACAATGATAATAATATATTATGACCCACAGAATAAACACATACCTACAAGTCCATGCTGAGATAAATAAATAAATGAACAAGTAAAGAAATGGGAGAGAAGAGGCCACTTTTACTTAGAGCAGAATTTTAATTATTAAATCTAAAGGGAGTAAGTAGCATGGAAAACCACTGCTGGGCCTACGTCACACTGATTGCTGCAGGGATGGGCCATGGATGGATGCAATGGGCATGGGCCCAAGGATGATGCACACACAACAGGGCATTTGCAACATCTCAAGTCACCTCCCCCAGAAGATACTAATTACAGAGGGGAAAACAGCAACTCTGCAGTGCAGAACCCTGGGGAACCACTTTAACCAAGTGATCAAGGACAGAAATGGGATATAACATCATGGACCTCTGCTATGGTGCAGTGGGAAGAGCACAAGGTCACCTCTGTGGTATTCCTGTCCCAAATGCATAGCCTCCACCTAACTATGAGAAAGCATCAGGCAGTCCCCAAATGAGGGATATTTTCAGGAATAACTGGCTAGTATTCAAATGTCAAGGTAATGATAGACAAAGACCAAAGAGCTGTCCCAGACTGCTAGGCACTAGAGAGGCATGATATCAAATGAATATGGTCTCATATGGTCTGCAGATTAGTTAGTAAGCACGAACCAATGTGAATTTCTCAGATTAGATCACTGTACTGTGGTCATATAAGATGTTAGTATTTGGGAAAGCTGGGAGCAGGTTAAACAGGTCCTATTTTTGCAAACTTTTTATAAGGCTAAAATTATTTCAAAATAAAAGATAAGTAAACAGATGGACTTTGGAGTCATTCTGCCTCTCTTTAAATTTGGCTACACTACTTACTAACTGTAACACCAAGCAAGTCACTTCATTTCTCCCCTCAATTTCCTCATCTGTAAAATGGGGATACATAGAGTAGCTATCTGGGAGGCTGAGGCAGGTGGATCACTTTAGCCCCAGAGTTTGAGACCGGCCTGTGCAGCACGGTAAAACCCTGTCTCTACAAAAAAATACGAAAAATAGCCAGGTGTGGTGCAAGCCTGTAGTCCCAGCTACTTGGTAGGTTGAGGTGGGAGGATCAACTGAGCCCAGGAGGCAGAGGCTGCAGTGAGCAGAGATCATGCCACTGTACCTCAGCCTGGGTGACAGAGTGAGACTTATTCTCAGCAAACTGACACAAGAACAGAAAACCAAACACCGCATGTTCTCACTCATAAGTGGGTGTTGAACAATGAGAACTCATGGCCACAGGGAGGGGAACATCACACACCAGGGCCTGTTGGGGGGTGGGGGAGCTAGGGGAGGGACAGTAGGGGGTGGAGGGATTGTGGAGGGATAACATTAGGAGAAATACCTAATGTAGATGATGGGGGGATGGATGCAGCAGACCACCATGGCATGTGTATATGTATGTAACAATCCTGCATGACCTGCACATGTACCCCAGAACTTAAAGTATAATAAATAAATAAAAAAAGAATAGCAGAAAAAAAGTACTTATCATAGAGGGTTGTAATGAGTGTTAAATGTGTTAATACATGTGTAGTACTTAGAACTCTGTGCCTTGACCCAGAGTAAGGGCTGTGCTACTATGTGCAATTATCAGATGAGACTGGCAGCATCTTCTGACCTTAGGGACATTTACTCTCTCTCTCCCTCTGTGTCTCATTATGGTCTGGAAAACTTCTGATGTAGGCTCTGTAGCTGATTCTTTCTCCAATCAGTTACTCTGGACTAAAAGCATTTCCCTTTCTACCAGCAGCCAGATAAAGCCAAATTCAGGCCACGATCTGTGATTTACATGTTAGTCACTTTTAGAGGAACAAGAATAACTGCTCTGTCATTTAGGGTTGCCACTGAGGAGATGCCTGCATTGGAAAGACACAGCTTATGTCACTAAAGAAGCTTCTGGGGCCAGTTTCCCTTATCCCCATGGCAGGGTGCAAACTTTTGGGCTTGCAGGACCAACATCCCTCATTGGTTTGGGAGAGGTGTGTGTGTGTGGATCTGCCTCACAATGGTCTGTCTGGGCCCTTACCTCATGTCACATGTTGGCATTTGTTTGGCCAATAAGACTGTAGCACACCCACCAGCTTCAGTCCCCACTTGGACTTACCTTTGATGTCACAATCTGAACTGTGGGTATTAATCTGGTTACAGCTGCTCACAGACCAGATGGCAAGGTCAGGGGACTAGCACTGGGAGATGTGGAAGAGAAGTAACCATCAACCCAAGATCAAAGCAGAGGATGGACCTCCGGCGGGCCAGTTCAAGGTCCTGGGTTCAGTTGTAGAACCTGCCATGCCACCTCTAGAGCTGTCAGAACTCCAGAGCTTCCAGGTATGTGAGGACATTAGGCTTCACATCAAGGAAGTGGGAGCTCCCTTGGTCAAGAAAGTCAATGCCGTTTTTCAGCTGGACATTACCAAAGATGGGAAGACAGTTCTGCAGTGGACCATCGATCTGAAGAATGGTTCTGGGGACATGTATCTGGGACCTGCCAGGCTCCCAGCAGACACTGTCTTCACAATTCCGGAGCCCGTCTTTATGGAGATGGTTTTGGGCAAACTGAACCCGCAGAAGGCTTTCCTTGCTGGCAAGTTCAAAGTGAGTGGCAAGGTTCTGCTTAGCCAGAAGCTGGACAGGGTTTTCAAAGACTGGGCTAAATTTTAAGCATGCAAAAATACCAAAGAAGAACTTCTCTTCGATGATAATGTCCCGTGGAAATCATGCTTAATCTGAAGATTAAAGTAAAAAGTATCCAGTATTTTTACTCAAATTCTTCCTATTCGAGTTTAATTGATTTTTCTGCTGATGGCTAAATTTGCAGGGAGGGTTCTGAAGCAGTAAAAAGTGTTGTAGTGCATCAATTAAAATATTTGTCTTTTTCTTTTTTTTAGCTCCATTTATGCCCTAATATGCCAGGGTGAGAGCCACATGTAGAGAAATGGGTGATTATGATCATTGGAATTAAATACTCCAATGATTGTGTTCTTGAGACATTTTTCCTTTTTTAAAAAAGTTTGATGTTTTGGGGCAAGAAGTGGTAACTGTCATTGTGCAGGCATGCATTCCACATGGTAACTTTGTTCCATGAAGAAACTTTACTATGAGATTGCGGGGCACTAAGGGAATTGGGCACCACTGGTCTGTGGGCGGAACCCAGGCAATAGAAGGGATGGTGCTCTTGGTGTATTATAACTTCTGATGGTTTCACTTCCAGGAAAATTGAAGGGCTTGGGAGGTATTCTAGGCCAGTGGTTTTTAACTGGAGCGTGCATCAGAATCACCTGGAAGGTTGGTTAAAGTCTGGATTACTGGGCTCCATCTCAGAGCTTCTACTTAGGAGATCTGGGCTGGGAAGAATGCACATTTCTAACAAGTTCCCAGGTGATGCTGATGGCACCACCATTAGAGAAACCCTGCTCTGCTTCACTTCATGCCAAAGCTTTCAGTATTGACTATAACTGTTCTATTCTGGACCAATGAGATACTGCCATTAGTCAAAGGATCTTCCAGAGACGGATTCCACAGCTCTCTGTGAGCCGTTTCTAAAATATCCATGCTGTCAGGAGCTTGTGCATTAAACATTTTACAAAATCAGAGGGGGAGATTTCCTTCCAGAAGCTCTCTTCAAGTGCTGTCTGGGAGGATAGGATGAAGTCAGACGCAGCTGATGCAACCTCCTCGTGGGTGAGTGTGTGTGTGTTCTTGGTTCACATGTGGTTTCTGTGCACCTTTAACTTGTGGGCTAAATATACACAGTGTGAACACCTGAAACCTAGAGGAAAGTTTTATCACAACTGCCATGCTCAAATACATGCCTACCAAATGATCCCACCATTCTGTTCTTGGGTATTTTGTCAAGAGAAAGAAAGCATATGTACAGGCATAAAAGGCACACTCACATGCATGTGAATGTTCATGGCAGCCGTGTTGAGAATAGTCCTAAAGCGGAAATAAGCCACATGTTCATCAAAGGTGAATGGGTGAACAACTTGTGCTGTGTCATACCATGGAATATTACTCAGCCATCAAAAGGAAGAAATGATTGGCATACCCACAAATAACAATGTGGATAAATGGCCAAGTAATTATGCTGAGTGAAAGAAACCAGAGAAGACTGATCATATACCATACAGTTCTATTTGTATTAAATACTAGAAAATATAAACTGTAATGACAGAAAAAAAATCAGTGGTTGCCAAGAGATAGGAGCATGGGGAATGGGGAAGGATGGGGGGATTATGACAGATGTCATGAGGAAACTTGGTGATGATGGGTATGTTCATTATCTTAATTGTGATGATGTTTTCCCAGGTCAAAGCATCACCTTGTGCACTGTGTTTACTATGTGTCATATACGCTAATTAGGTTGTTTTAAGAACCTGCCACCCTCCCTTCGAAATAAGGCTTTTGTGTGGCTGTGTTCCTGAAGAGGAAGGATCGGCAACTCTCCCCTTATGTCAGCGAGGTGAGCCCTCTCACCTCATCTAGGTCTAGTGTTCCAGCTCCTGACTGATTTGGATGGCTGTTCAGAGACCTTCCTTCATTTCGTATTAGAAAAAGTGAGAACTTGTTGCCTACAAAACGTCACCCTCTCTGTGGGAAAGGAAGAGAACATTTGTATCAGTGTCTTTATGAGAGGAAGAGATCAGAACGCTTGTTCTCTCCCTCTCTCTCTCATCCTGCCCCCCACCTCTTTCTTACTTTCTCTGCCATATGATGATGTAGCAAGTAGGTGGCCATCTGACTAATACAGGGCTAATACTTATATATACTAATACAGGTGTGTAAGTCTATATATATATATATATATATATCCTATTAGTTCTGTCCCTCTAAGAGAACCCTAATACAGGGCTGCTTCTGGGACACGGGTTTTTGATTCGCTGGCTTCTTTGTTCTGCCTCTCTTCAAGCAGAGTGGGCTCCAGGCGCTTGAGAAAAAGCCCTCCAGCAGTTGGAAGTCAGGTGCAGTAGATGCTGATGATGAGGTCCAGAGAAGGATCAGAGCAAGTGCTGAGTTCTGGCTACCTCCAGCAGCACTTGCATTTGAAGGGGCCCCAGGACACGGCAGTTAGAACTCGAACTGTGGAAGCAGACTGCCTGGGGCTGGATCTTGCCCCATTGGGCAAGTTGCTTTTATTTACTTTGTTAAATTATTTTATTTTGAGATGGAGTCTTGCTCTGTCACCCAGACTGGAGTGCAGTGGCAATCTCGACTCACTGCCACCTCCTCCTGCCTCAGCCTCCTAAAGGACTACAGGTGTGCACCACCATGCCAGGCTAATTTTTGTACTTTTAGTAGAGATGAGGTTTTGCTATGCTGACAAGGCTGGGCTTGAACTCCTGACCTCAGGTGGTCCATCTGCCTCGGTCTCCCAAAGTGCTGGTGTGAGCCACCACACCTGTCTTTTTACTTATTTTTTTAAATGCATTTTTAAAATTGAAGAATAACATACATAGGAAGAAGTCTACGCATTCTAAGTATGCAGCTCAACAAACCTTCCCAAATGAAACACGCCCATGTAACCAACACAACATCTGGCTCAAGAAATAGGGCATGACTGGCACCCCAGGAATCCTCACTCACACGCCGTTGTAGTTACTGTTGCCTCCAGGATAACCACTATTTTGACTCTAACACCATCGACATTAGTTTTGCCTATTTTTGTGCTTTATGTAAATGGGACCAGGCAATGCACACTCTTCTGTGTCTGGCGCCTTCCACTCAGAATTCTGTGTCTGAGATTCATCCACGCTGTTGTGCACAGTTACTGTTCGTTTGTTTTATTGCTGAGTGGTGTTCCATTGTATTTGATGGTTTCCAGTTAGGGGCGATTTTACATAGCATTGCTGTGAGCCCTCTTGTATACCTATGGGAACAGAAGTCTCATTTTGTCACTTAATACTAGTTAGTGTCTTACCAAAGTTTGCAGTGACAGCTACAGTGTGCTATCTTGCACACAGTTGGCGCTTTATAAATGTTTGTGGCATAAATCAAAAGGTAGGACATGTCCGGTGGTAGAGAAACAGCCCTTGCTGGGATTTGGTGTCTGGTTCACTGGGCCTCTGACCCGCTCCATGATCCTGAACTTTGGGCCCCACTTGCTAGGTTTCAGAGGGAAACCGACAGCCAGACACAGGGCAGAGGAGACTGGAAGTCTCACAGGCATGCCATGAACACGCACAGCCCAGTGCCAGTGCTTAACCATGTCAGGAACCACCTCTAAATGACAGCTGGGAATCCTCACTGACTTTTCTTTGAAGGAAAAAAAAAATTCTTCCAGACCTGTAACTGGGCTAATCACAAGAAACATCTGTGACCTCCTAAAAATAGCTGCTTGGTGCCATTTTGTGGAACATAATATTTATATAGCCCAGCAGTGTAATTAAATTGATGTTTAGCTAACTCTTGGAAACAGCTGGAGGCTCCCAAAGCCCAGGATGAGATCTGCAGGCAGCCCTGCAATGGGCTAGAAAGGGGCCCTGGGAGGTGTTCCCGCAGGCTCTTGGTGGGGGGTCCTGGAGTGGCCACAGAGATGGGGTGGGGGTGGGGGGGCATGAGGAACCGAAGAACATGCTGTGTTGAGGGACTGCGTGGCTCACTCAGGGGCAGTTGGATTATAGTTGTTTCTATGTTTTTGTCTAGCAGCCTCTGGAACGTCATTTCCTGCTGAGGAATGGTTTTTTCTTAAAGAACTAATCAGAAAGTGCCCCGTTTCAAAAGTGCCTTTGCTTTTGTTTTGTAGCCTGAGGAGGTGAAGTGGGGTAATGGTGGGTTTTTCTGGAGGTTTCTGTGCTTGTTCCTGGAGAACTGCTCATACTGTTGGGGATCTCAGCCGGCAGGTAGCATAGCCTGTACTTTCTCTTACTTCTCATCAATAAAGAAAACAGCAAAGCTGAAGCGAGATTTTTCTTTTTTGTAAAAAAATAAAAAAATAAACTTTTATTTTAGATTCCGACGTGCAGGTTTGTTACCTGAGCATTTTGCGTGATGCTGAGGCTTGGAGATGACTGACCCCATCCCCAGGTTCTAAGCACAGTTTTTAGGCAAAGGGTTCCATAGATTTTCAGCTGGGCCGGTTTCTCACTGGAGCCCTTTGAGGTCTGCAAAGCAGGACTGGAGCCTGCTGTGGGCGGGGTCTGATGTGGGGCCCCTCTTGAAGCCTTGTGATACCACCATCATTCTCAGCAAACTGACACAAGAACAGAAAACCAAGCACCACATGTTCTCACTCATAAGTGTGTGTTGAACAATGAGAACACATGGACACAGGGAGAGGAACATCACATACTAGGGCCTGTCAGGGAGTTGGGGGGTGGCTAGGGTAGGGATAGCAGAGGGTGGGGAGATAGGGAAGGGATAGCCGTAGGAGAAATACCTAATGTAGATGATGCAGTGATGGATACAGCAAACCACCATGGCACGTGTATACCTATTTTTTTATTACACTTTAAATTCTGGGGTACATGTGCAGAATAAAAAAAAAATCAGGCCTTTACAGGGATACCTCCAAAGCATGGTTAGGGGTGGGATTCAGAAGGGCCTCCCGGGAGCTTGAGAAGTCTGGAGTTGGAAAGGAAGTCCAGGGACAGTACCTCCCCCTTTAACCATCCCCTTTTTATGGAATTCTGCTCTTTGCATGAAGAAAAGGGAAAACCCATTGATGTTTTGAGTCCATAAGCATTCATTTATTCATTAATTCTGTGACAATTACCAAGCAAGTATTTCCTAATCTACCTTCCTGGCCCTGTGTTGAGAGTGAGGGATGAG